AAACGTACCCCTAATTTTGGGAAACCACCACACGTAGTAATAATAAGCAGTGTGTTTGGGAAGGCGAGGCAGATCTCCTGGAGTCCTCCTTGAAGGACCTCGCCGTGGCCCGAAGAGTCGAAGTGAAGACCAAGAGCCTGGAAGGCGCCAAAGCCGTTTTACATGTGCCGGGGGTTAGTAGAGAATAAGGGATATCTACATCTCTCTATCTATATATATATATAATCCCTACATGATTGTTATAATGAAATCCCTTATTCCCTACTAGCCCCAGTAGGCATAAGTTTTTGTTTGGGTTCAGGGTTGTTGCTAAGTTGTGGGGTCTAAGGCATTTAAGGTCTATCAGGGTCTTCAGTCTTCGGGTTCAGGATTTCGCGTTTAGCGTTGCCGGTTTCTGGCTAGGTTTTTTTGGCAGGCTTGCCAGGTAGGCATGCGCCGACTACTTAAGAACATGGCATTGTTGATAGCACAGTGGTTATGTGGGGTGTTGCAGGTCCACGGTCTAATTGAGGCAATCTATGGGCAACACGCCGTGGTGGAGGAGCTTAAGCCAATGCAGCAGTACGCGTATGTAGCCCTGCGTGTGTTGATAAAAAAACAGGACTATCCGCGGGAGTCCTGGACAGAAATGGTGTTTCGGGATGGCTTTTCTATTTGGGTGAAGGATCAATTAGGGCATATGTTAGGAGATTTCTGCGTACTCCGTTTGGATACTTGTGTATTTGCTTCGAGAGCCTGAGAGCATGACGTGGCAGACTACTCATATTCCCTTCCTGGTTGGCCGACTTTAAATCCCGTCCTATGCTTGGCGATTCCCTGGACGGCTAGAAATAGGATATCATATGATAGGATGTGATACGCCCTCTTCTCCCTGACCAGAAGAGGGTGTTGTGTTTCGTGGTCAGCTCCCTGGCACTTTGTCAGGAAGCCATAAACCCAAGCCATAAACCGTGAATTTTCACACTGAGCGCTGCAAAGATGCTCCAAGTCTCTGTGGAATTGGCTCGGATGAAGGGGTGGGATTTTTGGATGGCTACTGTTTTGTATCACTTTAAAGGGACTACCCCGATCGAAGTCAGGGCCAGCATTGGTGAATCTGTTGCTGGTGGGAAGCAAGCAGACATGAACAGGCTATAATTAGAGCCCTCACCCAAAAACAAAAAAGCAGGCCTGCATTTTGTATCTAGCTAGGTTTGGTTTCGCAATCTTAGCTCGATATTTATGATGCAGCAGAGACATCAATCATACACCGGAGCTGGCTTCGCAGTGTTCATGTCTCAGCCTGTTTGAACCCCGACATTGTTCAAGTGTTCGTAATGTTGGAAATGTATCTATCGACTGTTTTTCCTTGCTGCTTCTCTTCCCTTCGGTATCCTCATTCCAGTTCTGCTTGGGGCACACAAAGCTATATTGCAGTTATATAGGGATAATGAAAAAGAAAATGGAAACTGCAGGGACTATATGGGTTACATAGGGGCTGTATAGGGATTATAGGACACAAAGAGATACTGTTTCTTTGCAAGCTTGCATGCCTCTATGAGCTCTCTGGAGCAGGAGAGGAAGATGCCCCGGGCTTGGAGCGCAAGTTTCAGAGCTTTTTCTCTGGGTTGAGAGTAATAGGGGCTGAATCCCTCAGCGGGACGATTGTCCGCTTAGTCAGGTGCCTGCTCCACTCCTAACTTGCAACAGTGTTCGCCACATTTTGCGGTTTGCACGTAGGCTACCTAAGCGACTAGTAGCCCTGAAATCCCCAAATCCTAGACCCTAAAGTTTATACATCCCCATAAACTCCTTTGAAGGGACGTAGCGTGCAGCCCTGATTCCGCTCGCGTATGACATGCAGAAGCTACTCGGTGAGGCCAATGCTTCCATCTTCCCGGGAACATCCCCTAAAAGGGTGTAGGGTTTAGGGCCCTGAGGCGAATCCTCTATACAAGTTCCATTGCGGGTCAGGGGCTAAAATTAACTGCCCACTATCAGTGCATATGGACATGATGCATACGATGGTCTCCCCACAATTGTAACTTGATTTCATTTCCTGTCCAGCAACCCAGTCTTTACAGGTTCCTGTCATCAATACACCCCCAGTATAATCCCATCATAGCTTCAATATAAACCAGATATTACTCCAATAGAACCTCTGTAAAACCCCAATATCGTTCCAATATAACTAATGTATAACCCCAATATCCCCCTAAGCTAACCCCTATATAACCCCTGTATAACCCCAGCATTACTTTGCAGGTTCCTGTCATCATCTTCGAACTTCGCCGGCCGGGCGAGATGCAGCCCAGGCCCGTCAACGCATTTGAGCGCCCAGGATTTCAGAGGGGTTTCTGTTGGAACCCTAAACCCTAAGCCTGTTGGATATGTTTTTGTTAATTAAAGATATCAAATGCATTCATTAGGTACCCATGAAGGCATATGAAGCATCCTGAAGAGCATCCCAAGGGGAACCAGTCAGGGTGTATGTATTTAGGGCTAGTGGTGGAAGGTATTGGTTTCATGGGCCCCTGTTGCCATAGTTCCAAGGAGGCCGTGCCTCTAATGCACTCCTAGTATCCCTGAATAACCCCTTTAAAGAGTTTAGACTATAGCTCATATGCGCAGATGATGATACCAGAGTCCATTGGAAGGGTGGTCCATATGTCTGCAAACCAGAACTCCCAAACCCTAAACCCTAAACCCTAAACCGCGTCATGTTTCTTACCATCCCATATAGTCGCCTTGTGCAATTCCTATAGCGTATACATAGTCTTGACAAGGGTACGCTTGAAGCAGCCCCCATATGGTAGTTTCCCAAAATAGGGGGGACACTAGTATAGACCCCAATATACAATAATTCTTATTATTTGGACCGCCCAAAAAATATCACCTAATTTTGGGAAACCCCATATTTGACGCGGCATTTCCGGCTTAAACTGGAAGTTCCAGAGCTGCACCTTCTTCCCACAGCTGGTGGAGCCTGGGTTGCATCGGGCTATTCTCTAGGCTCCTTGAGCGGGGAATGTGGGGATGATGCCTCCCTTTATGGCGTTTAGGGTTTAGGGTTTGGTGTTTATACGACCCCTGATTGTCAGAAATTTCTGTGGGCTGGAGGATGCGTTTTCATAGCAATTCAAAGTACGACGCAATCAAAGTTGTTGGCTCAACGCTGCCAGAGTATAGAGCATGGTGTCTAGCATTCGCATGAAGATGTCGGAAGGTTAGGGATTGTAACATCCCATTGTTTTGATAGTACGTGGGCGTGGCCCTACGGGATTATCCCGAAGCTCTTTGAGGCGGAAGATAGATACCATCATGACTCTGTTCTGTTAGTTGTTCCAATTGCTGTAAGGCTGGAAAAGTGTTACTTCTTTCCCATAGGGGATGTCTTAGGTGCGAAGAATTCTAGCGCGGGCACGTGCAGCGACTAATGAGATCTTCACGGGTTCCTGTATCTTGTGCGACCCGTACCCTACGTGCAACAGTACTTGAAGCTGAGTAGCCTCATCTACAACCGTCCCAAAACCTCAGTCATCCAAGGGCGCCATGCGACCACTACTTCACCTGATTCTCGTCACCCAGGCAGATGTATTTGATTCGAGATGTCGCGCATCCCGCAAATTTAGCCTGGTGCCACACATGTGTTGAAGCATCATGACATTGTGACTTCATGGCCTTTCTTCAGCATGCCTGACCTCTTAGGGAAAGACCATGTATCGAGAAGTTGTTGGATGAAGAGCAAGCTGTCAAACTTGTGGGCTAGAGATCTGCCATCATGTTGGTGCTGACAAAGGCCCCTCGCGGAAACTGAAGAAGCGAGTAGTGGCTGTGGTGGTGGTGGTGGTGGTGGTGGTGGCGGCGGCGGCGGCGGCGGCGGCGGTGGTGGTGGCGGTCTGATGGTGGTGCCAGCAGCAGTAGCAGCAACCATCATGTAGGTTGTGATAAACCTCAGTACTATGCCAGTGGTTTCTTAGTTGCATGAGGCGGCTGCGTTAGGGCTGATATGGCCGAAACCGCAGCTTGTGGTGTTGCTAAGCTGCAGGTAGTATGGGAGTTGTGCAGGAACCCTCATTTTAGCAATCCGTAGGTCCTTGCTGAGAAACCCTGATGTGTTTCAGAGTACAACAGGGTGGTGCAGCTTAGGGACAGATAGGTCAAGAGTCTAGAAGTGCATCAGGCTGGAGATGATTCTGTCAGGGTAGCCATGCTGAAGCCAGGAAGTTCCTGCAAGAGGTTGTCCACCAGGAGAGCAGGTCATTGGTTTCGTTGTTTCTTCGAAGGCTGCCCCTGCCATGTAAGCTCGCCTTTTACCAGCACCAGCTTACATTCATCTTGCAGCTGCGCCTGAATCCTCTGAGCCCATACTTATCAAAATGACCAAGGCCAGGAAAAGGTTCCGTGCTGCTGAATCCAACAACGTACAGCCGCTCGGTGAAAACCTGTGTGAGTTTCTTTGTTATATGTTCCTCTTGGTGCACATTCGCGGGACTTGTTCGGGCCGATGGGGCTTCGTAGATATAGCGTGGACGGCCACCCCGTCAGAACCTGTGGGTTGCTTCGCATTGCTCCGCGTGATTCTCAAAGAGTAGCTCTTTGAGATGCAGCAGCATGTGCTGGCATACAATTCTGCTGGTGTGGGCTTGGTATGAACGATTCGCCTGGGGCCGTTTTTTGCAGAACGCTGAGGAGCACGTGTGCAGACTTAGGAAGTATTGGCAGCGCTCTAGTTGGCCTCAGAAAGTTGCATGACACGCTTATGCCAGGCAAAGATAGTCCTGGTTTTTTATGCAGGGGCATGTTCCACAAGAGATACTAACGCCTACCCTTCAGAGTCAGCACGCTGTGTGAGGTAAAGGAGCCTAAGACCTAAGACGTGTGAAAATTCAACAGCGTCTCCAAAAAAGGAGTACTTGTGCTACGTATCCACGTCGCGTGTCACAGATCAGACCTCTTCTCACTGAGTACTTAACCTCCCCACTCCCCCTTAAGCACTAGTAAGTCTGCTCACCTGCAAGGTTTTGAGGCGATCAAGTCTAGCGAGGTGCTCGTCAACGCGTTCGACAGATACCGGCCGTTGTTTTTCCCACGGACTGGCACGCCACACCCATCTGCTGTGAATGCTGGCCTTGTTGTGGACATTCGGGACCCTTGCTTCAACTCAGAGAGATGCAAAATAATACAGAAATGTCGCATCATCGGAACTCTCTCTCTGTCGCTCTCTCTCTCTCTCTCTCCCTCTCTCGCTTTCTCTGTCGCTGTCTCTATCTCTCTCTCCCTCTCTGGGTCTCCCTCCCTGTCTCTCTCTCCCTCCTTCCCTCTCTCTTTCTCTTTTTCTCTCTCTGTGTCTGTCTCTCTCTCTCTCTCTCTCTCTCTCACTCAGATGTCAGATCCATAAAGTCAATCCCGCAACTACACTACGAAGAATCCGCTAAAATCGAATTAATATTGTTTTTACATTCCCCTAAATGTCCCTATATACTTCTTTCTACTATAGCCCCAAATAAAGGTACTAAGGGGATCCTGCTAATCTACGTTTGCAAATATGGGCCCCTGATATGGGCCCTTAGCCCTTTTCAGGGAACTCTAGGGCTCCTGAAGGGGTATAAACAGGGTGAATACTACGTAGATGTGTAACAATTCCCGGGTTACAGGCCCAAACTAGATGCCCATGGTTTCAACCTTAGATCCCTAAACCCTAAAAACCTTAAGCCCTAAATCCAATAAACCCATGATTTTAATTTTTGCGCACAGGACACAACTGCAGAGCTGGCTCTGGGTGTCAATGAGAACTACACACTGGACAGGGTTTTTCTCAAAATTCTGAGCCTACTTCGGATTATTAGAGCAATTTAGGGTTTAGGGTTTAGGGTTATAGTCTAGTTATAGATTAGATTGCGGCACTTGATGTTTAGGGGTACCAAAATGGGACCTCATTTTGGGAACTACCCACAGACTGATCACCTCCCCTTACTGATCTTCTAAAACCTTGGATTTAGGGTTGATGCTCGTTGATGGTTTTTTTGAGGGTTCATAGGGCAGGGTTTAGGGGTTTCTGAGGTTTATAGGGATTTAATGAAAGTTGGGCTTAGGGTTTTTAGGGATTGCGGGCTACGTTCTACGGATTCCAGGGATTACTGCTGCAAGACGCCGCAATTCAGCGTTTTTATGCTAGCATTTCCCCTAATAACCCCTATAGTAGTCCCCTACATATATAGTCCCTTATATACACGCCATTATGGAGTTTAGACTAGAGCTCATGTAGGAATTGCTCAGGGCTGTTTTTGGCTCCAGACAATCGCGTGGAACCATTACAACCCGAACCCCTTTACAACCCTAGTGTAGAAACCTGAACACTTAGTATGGGTATCCCCTTACAACCATTCTATAATTGTAGCATAATATGCACACCAAAGTCCTGGTCTGATTAGTGAGGCCTTTCTTGACAGTCTGTCTAAAGGGCTTAGACATTTACAGGTTCCATGTCTTTTTGTCATTGTGTTGTCCTTCTGCTTTTCCACTAAGTATTGCAAGCAGCCAATTCCCTAAATCCTATACATTCCTACAACCCATTATAAGGGGGCCGTATTCATCCCTATAACCCGTTTGAATGAACCTAGAGACAGTACTTACAAGTACCCATAAGCATGATAACCCTCGCATTGCTCCGAATTTAAAGACATCTGAGCCAATGTGGGTGAGGGGATACGGTGCAGCTGTCTGATTCGCAGGGATGGCTTTTGGGGCTATAGGGCTGCTATATACGTAGTTTTGTAGGGATGATACTGGCATTCTCTGAAGGACGGAGCGCCCGCAAAATAAGCAGGAAATTTCATGTGTTCGCAATCTTATGTTGACAGTAGCCTTGACAGCACCTTTTTTTAGGGCTGCCAAATTGTGCAAGCAAGGCATCATGGGCATGCTTGGTTAAGAACCTTCGCACTTGAAAGAGATCCCAGCATGCAGGACGCAAACATCGACGGCACCGCTGTGATCACTGCTGAGACCGTGTGGGGCGCTCTGCGCGGGCTCGAGACGCTGTCGCAGTTGATTCGCTTCAACTTTACTACAGGCAGGGCTTTCGGGTTGAGTTTCCAGAGTTTCAGCTCATCTCAACAGACACAGAAGCAGATCTTCATGCAGCCATGACTGCTGTAGAGCGCATCTCCGAGCCTGAGCCGAACCTGAACCTGAACCTCAACAATCGCAATCTTGCCTGCGCCGAAAATCAAATGGGCCAGACCTTGCATCCCGTTTTGCCCATGCCCATACCGTCCAGCAGGGCAATATTCGATATCTGGCCTCCCTCTGCATATTGAAGATGGCCCGCGATTTCCGCCCCTGAGCTTGTCATAATCATGGGTGTTCGAGTCAGGCTTAGATTGGGCTCTGCAATGGGATGCAAGGATGCAAGTAGCCGCATTGACAAGCTTCTGAGCCAAAGATTTTTTTTGTGACTAGGTGCTCGAAGGCAGTATCTCAAATCCGCGTACCTGAAACCTCTCAGTCAACGTTGAACGTGTATTCTGCTTTCCCGGTTTCATGACGGGGTTGTTATAACCAGAGCAGAATTTTTGCTGGAGCAAACAAGGTTACCTGGAGGCAAGATGCTGATTCAGGTTTGCACTACCTAGTTTACAGCGACGTGCTGGTTTCTCAAAGTAACGTTGATGTAATCCTAACTTGGGACCCCAGAATCCATATGTGATTCGGGGTGTTCTTTTTCTAAAGCCTTAAACGAAACGTGCTAAACTCCACACATAGCATAGGCCCCTACAGAACCGCTTTAAGGCCTTCTCGCGCTCGTCTGAGGAAGCCTAAAGTGCCCAAACACTGGGTGTAGGGTTTGCGGTTCAGGGCTTAGCGTTTAGGTCCCCCAAGGACGTAGAGAAGAGATTGGAGGTCGTTAAGATAGGGCTTAAATGAGGATAATGGAAACGAGAATGGAAACGAGCATGGAAACTACTGTATTAAAATAGGGAAGTTACAGGGATTATATGGCAGTTTCCATCATAGGGGACCCCAATATAGACCCTAAATATTATAATCATCTATAATCCTTCTTATTGGGACCCCCATAATGGTGCCCCTAATTTTGGGAAACTTCCATATTGGAAAAGTGTAAAGCCGCCGCGTTGCAGGCGCTTCTCGCTTAGCAAGCGCGAAACACAAATTTACAAAAAGTTAACATCCTATAGTCCCTCTTACTAGCCTGGGTAGGCCCCTGGGATAATATTTTCCCTAATGGCTTTAATAGGGGACTATATATACCAATATTGTTCAATGGGTTTCAGGGGCCAACCTAGTAGCGAGTCCTAAACCATCCCAAGCCTTAAGTCCCTACATCTCGGCGGTGTCCATTTCATTGTCCACTGTCTTTCCCAGTTGATTCTCAACCATGTTCATATGCCCCTATATCCTTATGTGATCCCTCTAGAATCCCTAACTCATTCCTCTATGCTTCCTAGAGAATGCACATATGCCCTATACTCTAAACACCTTAAACGGGGTTCTATCGGGGATTCTAGAGGGGAGCATTATAGGGTTTATTAAGGGGGATACTTGGAGTTTAGGCTGGCTCATATATCTCTATGGACCTTACTGGCTCACAATGGCAATGGAATCAAATTAAACTCGAGTCATACGGAGACTGTTAGCATTATGCAATGTAGAAGTCTCAAAAAGTCTCACAATTATTCACTGATTTTCTATGTATGACTATACTATACTGCAATATACCCTAAAGACCCATGTGAAGTAGATTGCCCAGGCATCGAGGGCTTCTTATCGACTCTGGACGCCACTTTGAGCCCATAGCACAAGCATCATGACCGCATTTTAATGACGCTGCTTCATTGCTAGCTAGGGTCAGGGATGTCAGGGTCGGTGGGTAGGTATGCAGAGATGTAGCGGCGTTTTTCAGGGACATCAAGGATGTAGGGTGTGTAAGATACTGGCTCTGAAGGAATGCCAAGAGAGGAGCTCCTGGATCTGAAATCTGAAGCGCGCCTGTGTTTACCTAAGCTAGGCCCCTGGAATTTCTGTCAGTATTCTCCTTATGGAGTATTTCTTGATTTTGGTTATATAAGTCTAAGGGCATTACAGCTGCGGGTTGGCATTGCCACAGAGCAACTGGCAGCCACATATTAATTTCGACCGTAGAAGCCTGAACAATATGTCCCAAACTTCTATCTATGAAAGTCAACTAGGAACTGGGGCCCAACACTATCCGTCCTGAGCCTAAAGACAACAGTGCGCCCACAGCATTTCAACGAAATTGTAGAAGTTGCAGGTACTTGTACCGGATCCGTTTACAGTGTACATTGCACGCCGCGGTCCCAACCGTTTGTTTTTAGTCCTGCAGGGTGAATATCAAGAAAGGGTGTTTCCCCTCTTTGCATGAATGAGCATATGGGGTTTCTCAAGAAGCAAGTGGCGTTCGGGACACCAAGGGTATGTGTCTCGCCATATTGTGGACTATAAGTAGATTCCAAAGAGTCGGACCCCAAGTGGTAGATTTGACTGGTGAGGCCGGATACCCCATTACTTACTGGTTCTTAGTAGGGAATAATTAAGGGAAGATAATCCTGACATAACTCCTGTACAACATATTCCCTCGTTCCCTTCTATTTGAACCAGTCAGGCTAGCAAAATTCTAATAGCCATGAGCGATATAGGGTCTCGTTCTTGCAAAGACCTGCCCTTACATAGGTCAATCTTAGACCCTGATAGACCCTGAGGTCAAGTCCCTGCTGGATTCCATGCAGTATGCCAAGCTGAACGTGCTTCACTGGCACCTCACAGAGGACGATGCCCAAGCGGCCACCCCCCCCCAAGGGACCCGAGGTGCCCAGAAAATAGACAACCTTTGAATGTTTCGGTAGGTATATGTTTCAACATGTTGCTCAAGCGTGGCCGGAATATGTGAGGACTTAATCTACCAAAGGGCATGGCCAGTGTAGGCACTGGGTCGGTTGAAGAGTTTGGTTTTGCCAGAGCTGTGAATGGAACTCGAGACCGGTGAATCGCGCTTGCCAAGTTTTATCCGGTCTGTCTGTGCCCAAGGTTATGAACCAGACTAGCACGCTAGCCCACCTAACAGGCTGTTCGTAGGTCAATGACGGAATGAGCAAGAATATGGAAAACTGCTTTATCTGTGCAGATTGCACGGGGGCTGCTACAGGGATCAGTTCCTGAATTCCCTAGCAACAACCAGCGACTAAGAGTGCACAGGGGCTTTTCTCCCTTGCTGGAGGGGGGAGGGACCTGAGCTCATGTCAGGTTGAGGACTAGGAGATATTCCTTGCTTCAGGTGTCTTAGGAGTGCTGGAAAGACACGGAAAGACGCCAATTCCCTGGAGCATTAAACCCTCTGGATAGCGTCGTATGGCCGCATGAAGGAAGCTGTCCAATCCTGACTTCCAGAGTTTGAATGGCCTAAAACGAAGACAGAGGTATCCCTTTGGTTTGTTGAAAACTCTGAGCCTCATGATGTGCACGCTCGATGTGACGATGCCATAAACCCCAATTCAGTGCTAAGCACTGAGCCTTAACCCCTACACTGCAACCCCTCCCCCTTAAGACCTACAACCCGTCTCCACAACCCCAATCCCTGTACACCCTAAACCGAGAAGAGGACCAGTCCTTCCCCATCGCTAGCCGCTCCTTTCCGGAGCTGCCGCAGAAGCTGGCTAAGCAGCAAAACCTTTTGTTGCAGCCTTCATGGGTAGTTGTAATTCTGAGCTGGGGCTTGAGTTGTATGACAATATAAAGTTGATGATAGCTACAAGCCTACAGTACAGATGGTGCCCCTTTAGGGTTCAGGGTAGAGCATCCCTTCACAAGCTTGTATTGGGCTTGTATTGGAATAGCCAAAGTGCGGCGCACACACTGCATCAGTGCAACAATGTGCCACCAGGTTTTTCATGACGCGCATGCGGGAATCACTTAGAACATTCATTGTGTTTTGGGTCTCACAGGATTTAACACACATGAATGTAGAGTTTGAGGGCGGGAGAAGTTAAGCCGTACTCTTTTCTGGTTGGGGCACTGGATTCTGAAGCTTTTGCGCAATCCCTGAACCCTAAATTCCGTAAACGCACGAAACACTAAGCCCTAAATTCCCTGCAGACCCGAAACGCCGCAAACCTCAAATGCTGAGTCTTAAGGGCCAGGGCTGAAAACCCAATTGAGGTTTCCCGAATTAGGGGTACCTGTAAAGGGAATGATAGGGGTTATATGGGCTTTAGGTTTTCCGAAGTTTTTGGGGGTCCCCATAGTTATAGCATTTTGGGGTCTAATGTTTCCCCGCCCTATTTCGGGAAACTTCCAAACACACCAATCCCAAGCTCTGGATGCCCTGAAAGAAATACCCATGCCCTAAGCAGTAAAATCGGAAAAAGCATCAACCTCAGAATCCCCTAAACCCTAAATCCTCAGACCCAGGAAAGGCGCCTACAGCGACCAGGAGCAGCAACTGGCTGTTGAAGTCGACGTTTCAGTTTTTTTAGGGACAGCGGCTTTTTTTTGGTGCTATTATGGCTATTCGGAGTCCCAGGAAAAGAGCGGAGGATGCTTCAAGCCCAAGCCCATGACCTTTTTCTGAACCCTGCACCATCCCAATCCCTAAGCCCCAATCTTCCAAACCCTAAACCCCAAGCCCTATACATCCCTATATAAACCCTAATTATATAACCTCTTGAATCCGTACAGAACCCTGTATAAGCCCTAAACCCTGATTTGATTTGTGCATCCTGAGCCGTCGGTGAGGTACACCTGGCGGGAGATCAGTGACGTGGTGCAGCGACTCCGTTGAAATAGGTGGCTTTCCAAAGCTAGGGGTGCGTTTTTGAGAGCCCCATAATAAGGATTATCGTGTTTGGGGGTCTGTAGTGGGGTCCCCCTGTTTAGGAAACTACCACATAGTTACTCTGTCCGTGGATTACAGTAGCGACAACTTTGAATCGGGTTTAAGATTTTGGGGCTTTGGCATCTAAGGTCCTTGTGCTGAAGCTCGACAGGCTTTTGAAATAGTATCCGAATAAGGAACCCGTGTTGCATGAATGCATGGTCTCGAATACTCCCATATACTGCAGTACAGCAAGTTGTATCGTGTGTCATAGCAGTACATAGATCATGTATAGAATTGCATAGAGCAGCCTCTGCCATGGCATAGAGCAGTTCTAGTGTGCATATGTGTATATATATATGTATATACATGTATATATATACATATACACATACACCTGCACACACACATACATATAGAGTAGTTTAACATCATAACCATCGAGCGGATGTTGTCAGAGTTTCAAGATTCCCAACAAACACAAGCAGGGAGGAGTCATAGCCCTCAATTACAGGGTATCAGTACAAACCACTAGCTCGGCAGAATATGAGCATGGACTTGTTAGACCCTTAGACTGATTCCATGTAGGGGTTCTGTTCGAGCTTAGAGTGTAGCATGGTATTCCTGAATTTGTGTTTTAAGTTTTTTACCACAGAGTAAAGGTGAGACGCTCTGTTTATCAATGGTTGTGTAGTGTTTGCTTGGGCTGCTAGTTAAAGTGGGCCCTTGGGCACCCTGACTTTGAGTCGGGGTGCCTGACTAGCCTGCATTTTTCATGGATTGTGAGGCCCGGGCCCAAGCCCAGGGACAAAGGTCTACATGTTGGGCCCCTAAACCCCAAACCTACATGTTTCTCTCCTAGCATGCCTAGAGCTCTGCTCTCCTGGTGGTGTGCAGCACCACATATGTTTCACTTGGCAGGGCGCATGCAAACGGACGCTAAGTTCATCTGCCACTTCACGGAGCCATAGGAGCTACTGTCCTTCCCAGATGGCATATAGGGTATACGCAGGGCCCACAAAATCACTTTGGCGACCAAGTTTTTTTATCATACAAGGGCTTCCGGAAATTTTGGGGGTCGAGTTTTGGAAGGCCTCGTAATAATAGTTCTAGAATATTGGGCTCTATATCGGGGCCCGCGTCTTAATGAGAGCCACCTTGCAGACACAGGACATTCCCTTAACCCTAAGCCCATGGCATTAAGGACATTCCCTAAAACCTAAACCTCAAAGTGTTCTTATGAGTTTCCGGATATTATTCCCTAAACCATCAACCCTAAACCCCAAGGGGGTCTCAGGTATGCGCGAGAGCGCGGCATCCGCGTCATCCCTGAGTTCGACATGCCCGGTCATACCTCGGCCTGGAGGACTATTACTAATTACTATTAATATATTTAGGTGTATTATAGTATTTTGTTGTATACTATAGTACATTATAATCTATTGTGGTAATCACTATGAATATATTTATTAGATTGTAGTATATTGTTGTATGTCATAGTATGTTATAGTATCATATGGTATATTATGGTATATTATGGTATATTACGGCTATAGTCCCCCTAATCTGGATTAATGTAAAAAGGATCCCTTTTTCTTCCTAGGGTAGTGTGGGCTAAGTAGTCACAAGCCTCCCCAAGACTCCAATAGGAAACAGTTATATGCTACGAAATGAGGGGCTTCCGTTTAAATTCCCCGGTAAATGAATACCGAATTAAAGGAACTGATTACTGAAATTGAATACGCAATAAAATCCTTATTGAAACATCGAGTTAACATGCATTTAAAATCGCTGGAAATCGGATTGAAATTCCATTCAAAATCCGTTGAAATCGAATTAAACTTCAGTTAAAATCAGTTTAAACCTAACCAGAGGCAAGATGACATCTATTGGAATTCAACTAAAATTCTATTCAAAATCACTTGAAATCGAATGTAGACCCACTTAGACTCAATTGAGTTCTAAGTCAAATTCCTGTTACAACCAACTGAAATCAAATTCAAATCTATTTAAAACCAACAGTAATTTAATTACAAAATCAATTGAAATCGAATTAAAATCATTTTAAAATCAACTGAAGCCTCCATCAAAAGTCAATTGAAATCGAATTAGATTCGAGTTAAAATCCATTAAGAGTTCATCAAATTCCATTCGGAATCAATTGAAAACTGATTAGGGTTCGATCAAAACCAATTGAAACCGTATGACAATCAATTGGGATTTATATAAGTTCAGCTAAAATGGTTTTAAAAACGCAGTTTTACAATGTATTTCGTCTTTTGCCCCCTAATGACCTTAAAACCACCCTATTTCATTATTAGGTGGCCCTTTTTTAAAAGTAGCCTTCCCCTTTTGAAAGGAGTGTTCTGCATTTTAGGCCCCTGAATTTACTATTTAGTATCAGGGTGTGTTTTAATATTAGGGGGAAGGGTTTAATCCCCTCCCCACGACCCTAAGAATCAACAATCCCTCAGTTATAGCTATGTGGTGGTGCTAAGATTGGTTGGGCGACATTTGTTTAACTTGGGGGAATAGGAGTTTCGCGATCATATTGGTTTAATGGGGTTTTGAGGGGATCATATGGGCATAGATAATGTGGGAGTAATAGGGTTGCGTGGATTCTGACTTCTGAGGGAGAGGTGGGGAGGGCTGAGGCTTACGTTCCACAGAGTACGGATTAGAAATTGCAAAGGGTATGGGGAGCTACTTTAAAGTACACAGCAGCCTTCCCACATGTGTCTTGAAGTCTCTTTGGAGCGGAGAGCGGTCGTGTAGACTTATCCTCCACGGCCGCACACAGAGCCCAAAGAGGGGCCTTGTTAGCTTGGCTAGATCTACGGTAAGAAGCATGGGCCCTAATGGGTCCTTAGGCATTTTAGAGGATTCTGGTGACCCTGAGGGGCCCCCACGACATACGGGGGTTCATACCGGGTATGTAGTAAGTAAACAAGGATGCCAGGCTTAAGGGCCCATACTGGGGGCCCACCAAAAAGGTACCCACACTTGGGAAAAAGGGGATAGTAGGAGTTTAGACCGTAGCTCACATAGAATTGTAAATCCACACCAATGTCATGTCCAGTGTTTGAGCTCGTGCTTCTTGGAAAGATCTTGTCTTGTTGACTTTGGCACTCCCGCCCTTCCCCACACGTAGATGGGACCCCATGTAGCTCACAGTCTGGATAATGTAGACCTATGATTAATGAACCCCGGCCTTTTAAGGGACTGTATATTAGGATCCCTATTGTAATCCGTATCTAGGAGGGTGTTCATTAATCAGGAGTCTACATTGGGGGCTGTGTTTGGGGTTCCATGTTGGCTTGGGGGAGCACTATGCCCCTCGGTCTGGGACAGGAACTCGCATCCGGAACTTTTTGCCGAAGGACGGAATTGGGTCAAAGTTGGAGGCGGCATCTTCTAAGTTCATACTACTAAAAACTACAAGAAATAGAAAGCTGCAGTTGGCAATAGTATCCCAATGTAGAACTAGCTATAAGCTAACTGAAGCTGGCTAGTATGTGGTAGGTGTGCAGGGCATGAGTACTTGTGTAGTTTAGGCTTTTCTGGCATTGGTGTACATGGGCCGCAAGCTTCAGGCATAAGCCCATGACACCCTGAAATGGCCGCGCCTTCTCACAAACGAGCATGGAAACCCAGAGAGGACCCTGTGATGATTACGCTGTGCTTTAGCAAGGTGGCTCCATGTGGTTCCATGCAAACCCTGATATGTATCCCCAGATACGCCCCATGTATCCCCATACACCCCCATAAAAAAAGGCTCTTCCGGATTTCATTTTAGCTTGCGGGGAGTGTACCTATCAGCCGCCGAGATCCAGTAGGAACGAGCCAACACTCCGGATATTGAGGAAAGGTCCCCCCCCCCAAAAAAAAACATGAATCCTAAAGCCTTAGCGCCACAATCCTCAACTGTAAAGCCTGGATGCTCGAATACATAATACGCTCCAGACCCTAAATCCTGAATAAACCCTGGACGTCAGACCTAGATCTGGTGGTAGTAGTAATAATAATACATACTGATAATAATGGCAGTCACAGTAGTAGTCGTTGTCGTCGAGGAGGTCGTCGTCGTCGTCGTCGTCGTCGTCGTCGTCGTCGTCGTCGTCATCGTCGTCGTTGCTTTTGTGGTGGTGGTAGTAGGATGCCTCAGCGCGGAATCTCGCGGCGCATTTGACCCGGCGAACCCCGGCACTTTCGCATTCCTGCTGGCGCCTAGGTCTGAACAAGATTTAGGGTTTAATTCAGGTAGGGTTATATTGGGGTTATGTTGGGATAATGGACAAAGAAAAAGGAAGCTACTATTGGGGGTTTAGGGTTTAGGGTACACCTCTAATCCCAATTGCCCACCTAAAGCGTTATAGGTTATTGCTGATTTATTTGACGGTGAGGCGAACTCAACTGTAGGTAATCGAGACTACAGGCAGGATTTCGAAAACCGTTCTTGCAGCAGCCTATTATCCCAATAATGGGGAGGCAAGTGAAAAGGACATGGAACTTAAAATGAAATCTAAGAGTACGTAGGGCCACTTTGGGGTCTTGCTTGGCCTTACTTGCAGGGTGGATAGAAGAAGTGTACCCCGCCATGATCTCAGGCTTGGAGATGAAGTTTCAACATTAGCTTGGGGGGCTTAGGATTTAAAAGGCGAATCCCTCATTCCCCTGCTTCGCAAATTCCTGAGGCCGCCCTCCAGGATTGGACCACCGACATGTTCACAGACGATTTCCTCCACCTGGGAAGCGATGAGGCTACTTTTCAGGGGTTCTGTCGAGATGAGTAGGAGTTTGACTACAGATGTTCTGAAAATTCGGTTTCAACGATCCCGATATAACCCCTACATAACCCAACATCCTACTACCACAAGCCTGAGGACAGAACGGGGCCAGCTGCTTTTTGAAGGCAAAACATGGCCAACATCCTTCCCCAACATGCCCCAATACCCCCAAGGATTCAAAAAAAAGGCTGCGTCTCCATCCGGCCAAAAAGGCTAAGAGCCGTGTTCCTTAGAACATGTTCGAAGTGAGCACACTCTTTATCAGCCATCTTCACGTCAATCCCTATGCAAGCCATACATGCTCCCTCAAACAATCACCTGTGCGCATCCCCTGTAACACCAATACACTGAATCTGGGGATGAAAATAACCAGTACCATAATGGAAAAGAAGATTTAAACTGCTATTCAGGGTTTAGGGTTTAGGGCATGGAGCAGCAGCTGCAATCATTAGCCATATTATTCCCTGGCTCTCTTTTGATGACCACTGTTTAGAACCCTACTCCGAATACATCACAAAATCCGTATCAGCACCTGTATAAACAACCACTTTCCATTTAATTGTCCATTGTTCTCATCAGGTGTCCCTACAACCCTGTTGAATGGACCCTAGTTGACTACAGGTCTTGCCGCGCGGGGGTTGATTCTTTGTATGTACACATGCACAAAAGGTATCTTGCAAGGAAAAGGCAGCTCCATCAGTAGGCAAGTTGTGAGGTGTAAGCTTTCAGTGGAGTAGTATGTGGAAGCCATATATATCCCCAAGGCCCCCAAGGGCAGAGAAGCCCCCGCACCAGGTTCCTTCGAACTGCTGGAACAACACGAAGGATTTGGCGTGGATGCTGCTCGTCACTTTCGTGCTTCACCCAAAGGGCCCGACGATCTATTTCGGAAGTACTCATGGGGCTCCTACATAGATATAGGGTTCAGGGTTTAGGGTTTAGGGTTAGTGTGTATTATGTGGCCACTTGGACCCTAGGTTCAGGCATGTGGTTCTTCGGGGCCGACAGCTCGTTGCTGTTGAGTTGGGATTCAGAGTCGACTGGGCTGCTGTCAAGGAACTTCAATTAAGTTTCGGTAATGGGTATATGTACTAAATAAATTGGTTTCCCCAATAACCTAAATTCAAGTTCCTTAACAGCAACCCAGTTGAGGGCATCGTACTAAGGAGGGCAGAGTTCGGTGGAAGCTTGGGGAGCCAAGGGGCTTGAAACTAGAACAGTAGTTTCCATGTTCTTCTCTATGCTTCCCTATAGAACCCCTATATAACGCCTGTAACAACATGTCAGTTCAATTTCAGGCCGGGGCTTCGACTTCAGAATTTTGGGGTTGGAGCCTTCTCGCCCTGAAATCAACACTCCCGAAGCCAACATACTGGGTTGCTGTGAAGGAACACAAATTAAGTTACTATATCGGGGAAACCCTGTTATGTATTATGTTTACCCATTATGGTGACTTAATTTAAGTTCCTTAGCAGCAACCGAGTACGGGGTCCTACAAGGACTATACTGTCCTTTCGAAATGGGCCGACATGGGCTTCCATTTGTAGTTTGTCTGAGTCTTCTCCCTAAAGGTTGCCAGGCAATTGTTTGGCGGCAGAGTCCAGAGGAACCAGGATCAATGAATAGGCTTTCCCACACACGCCTTCCCCTTTTGCAAGAACATCCTTGCCGGCTGCCAGAATGGCAGCAGTTTAGTGTTTAGGCTGCGGCCTAAACCTAACCCCAAACCCTTAACTAACCCCCAGCCCAAACCTCAACCCCAACACCCTGACCCTAAAACATTTTGTTAAAAAGCCTCAGCCCCATATGAGCAGTAGTCTAAACTCCTTGAAGGGGTTATATAGGGTTCCTATTATAGGGCTTATTAAGGGGGATACTAGGAGTTTAGACCCTAAACCCACCCTAAACCCTAAACCCTAAATCCTAAACCCACCCTAAACCCTAAACCCTAAATCCTAAATCCTAAACCCACCCTAAACCCTAAACCCTAGACCCTACTATCAGGAAGAGCCAGGGCTTGGCAAACTTCTCGGAGGCTCGGAGTGCTCTCTCAAAAACTGCGCTACATGGAGCTTTCTTAGTTGGGGTACTACGGTGGCTACATAGGAAAAGGGGCTCATGTAAGTGCTATGCAAAGGTTGTTTTCATATATATATATACACCTGTTTTTCAGGCTTTGTACAATTAGGGGCTCCCACTTTAAACCCAAATATGCTACATTGTTGAAAGAGGCGCCGAAAAAAGTCCACCCCAATTTTGTAGCCTTGGTCGTTTCCGAAATCCTGCAGGAATTGGTAAGTGCCTAAGATTTCGGCGGGAATTTCCGGGGATTGTGAAGATTTCCTGACTGAGCGTCTCATTTGCTACCCCACCATACTTTCTGTGCGACCAGGGGTGTCCAAACAAAGGACGTAGCCCACATGGGTACGGGCGGGTCGTAATTACAGGATGCCGTGCAGTGCCTCCATCCGGGCAGGTGGGAGATTGGGAGCTTGTGGGGCACACTTTGACTGCGGCTCTCATTCCCCCAAAACAGGAATGCCCATATGGTAGTTTCCCTTAATAGGGGGACCCCGATATAGACCCCCAAATACGATCGTCCTTATTTGAGGGGCCCGCAATAAGGTACTCTGTTGGGAAACCTCATGTGGCTCAATATTTAAGGACATTAGTCTTCAAACTTATTGGTGCTCAGTCGGGAATAAGGGAATATAATCCCTTTACAGTATCTACAATATCTTCCCTTACTCCCTACTAAACCCCTAGGAAGCAGAGGGCTCCTTCCCAGGTTCCACGGGAGCTTTCCAGGCTTGCTAGAGGAGCCGCACAAGGATTCCCATAGTTAACATGAGGGTCATGAAGAAGCTGCAAATTTAAGGCTCGAAGTATGGGTTCCTGATATGGCCCTCAGGCCTTTTAGGGGGATTTCAGGGACCCTCTAAGGGAGCCCAGGGTTAAGGACCCATACTAAGGGCCCCTGGTTTCAGCCTTAGGTTCAACAAAGCAGAATTATTGGCGAAGCGAGGGCCCGTTGGAATAGTGGAGAATCGAACGGACAAGAAAATCCAATGGGAACTGGTTTTGCAGGAGAATACAAGATTGCCAAAAGGGTCCTAGACTCCTTGCAAGGTTATAGTATGTGGAGATCCTCCAGCCAAGACGCACAGCTTTCTTCTATTACGCCGGACTCCGCAAAAAAATATCATGTTGTCTAAAACGCTAATACACCCTAATCGCTAAACTAGGACCCTCGAGTCTGGAATTTGAGGCCTGACATCAGCCAGGAACCGATGGAACTAAGGTCTTTCTTGCTCGAATCCTTTTCATAGCGCTTATTATTATAAGGGCACCCGCAATGCTCTAGCTATGATCCGCATACACGTCTAGGATCCCACAAGTTACCGCCATGTTGAGAAAACAAGATTCTGTTTGGGGCCTGCACCCGCAGACTTCCGAAATTTCAGCTTCAGGGTTTGGGGTTCACAGCGTGGTGCTTATAGTGGTTGGGGCTGAGGGCCGCTTGACCACTCTAGAACCTCCGTATCACTCCTGCATTGAAACCTTTCAGTGCAACGCGCATCTTTCGACTTGTAGGAGTAGACTTGTGCTGGGTTTGTGCTGAAAGTGGCTGCACCAGGTCTTCGATTACTTTGTGAATCACATGGTCTCCATGGCCAAGAAGCTGGGGAAGCAAACGATCCTCTGGGACGACGCTCGGCTGGGCAGTGCTTGCAGCAACAGAAACAAATAACTGATAGTTAACTAGCAGGGAATGATGCATGGGTTGTAGGGGCGATTATAGAGGGTTATGTGGGTACTACTTCCCTCCATTCCCTACTCCCAACCTAAGCACTTCCCTCAGGGAGCAATTTGGGCACGTCCCAGCGATGTTTGAGCTGTCTTCCACTTGCGCGGACTTTGTGCACTCCTCCCTTTTCTAGCTTCCACCAGGGAATGCCACGTGGCTATGACCTCAGAAGGCTGAGAGGCTTGAGGGCTTCCCTTAGTCAAACCTTACCTTTTTGCCTTACAGGCCCTAAACCTCAGGTCGAGCCACCCTCACCTTGTTGCATCTTTAGAGTGTGCGTCTATTACTCCGACACCTATGCTACTCCACCCACCACCATGTCACAGCCATGATGTTGGCACATAGCTTGGTGTATTGCTCAGGAAGCTTTCATGTCGGCCAAGCCGCCGAAGGACGAGAGCTATGTTCACCCACTTGGCGCAGTAAAGGGGTGCAGGTCCAAGGCGATTTTCCACAGATTCGGGATTCGTCTTCATCCCCCCTACCTGCAACTGTGAAGCCTGTTCTCCAATGACCTTCAAGTTGACGAGTTGCTGTGCAAGAGCCTGCATGTTTAACATGGCTAGGCATGGAGCAGAAGCACACGAGCAAGAATGAGAACAAGAACAACAACAAGAACAAGAAGAGGAAAAACCAGCCTACCTGCTCTTCTGTCTACTTTGCTTCGAGACAACCCCAACCTCTACATTGATTTTCGCTTGCATCATATGCCCGAACCCTGAGCGGATGGACAGGATGCGGTCATTCAGAACTGGCACGACTCAAAGCTCATGCAGCAGATCGTGGGTGCAGGAAGGGCCTAGAGTTCTTGCCGTGCGTTTTGAACGGATGGGGCGTTGTTGTGGGACGGTGGTGCATGCCTGTAAAGGGGCTCGGCTTGGCTTCATGAAGGGCAAGGGGCTCAGCTGGCGTGTAGCAGCAGGTTCATGTAGCGAGGAGTATAGCTCGACTGCTGCATCTATGAGTTACTTGTAATGTGTGTGAATATTCAAGTTACCAAGGGGAAAACAACGGCAAGCAGGCTACAGGGTCAATTGCCTGTGCAGCCGTACTAGTCGTCGCTGAGCCCTTGCTTTGCATGCTGGCAGGTTATCGTGCTCTCCTCTCCAATGGACTCCTGGATCAACTTACAGAGGGGTCCCCTGCTGCTCTTCTTGTTTTGAGTCCTAACATGGACGGACAAGAGGTCAGAACTGCTCAAATGTACTCACCATCATGTTTGCCATGGGAGTTGCAACCTTAAGCCAAAGACAGATGTCTCCGGCCTATCACAATGAACGACGTTAAAACCATGCTATGCCGGCAAAAACAACCGCAAGAGGACCATGCGCCACTACCAAATGCAAGATTCAGGGGTTTTGTTTGATCTGCAGCTTAAGCCCCACAACCTTCCCCTGTACATGGGGCCGGCCTAGCTTCCCTCAGAGGACTCCACGGACGTTGGAGCTGTAGCTGTGTCGCGAGACCGCACCTAATCTTCATATTTGCCGCACTGATTTGCATCCAAGGATGGTACCTCGATGGATTGAAAACGACATGGCAAAGCATGTACGCCTCGCAGCCGCAGCAATCATCGACGCCTGAATGGCAGGATTCTCACCCAAACTCCTCCTCACGCGAGACTCCGAACGCTTGATTCTACAACAGCCTAAGTTTCCAAGGCAATGGACCCCCAGTTCAACATCAGCCAGGACGGCGTGTGATTGTGGATTTGGTGTGGAAAGTAGCGTGGCTAGGAGCATTCCATGAAATGACACGTAAAGTTCTTGAACGTATCACCAGTTCGACTATGACAACACAGGCATGTCCACTACCACTAGTGGTCTTTTTCGTCTTGTCAGACTTACATCATGTCGGTCTTCATCGCTGTTGTTCTTGTAATGGTTGTATTTGGTTTTATTGGTTTGCAAGTGTTATTATAATCACTAGCAGCAGTAGCCGTAGTAACAGCAGGAGGTGCAGAAGCAGCAGCAGGTGTTGTTACCACCAGAGGTCTTACCATCACTGCGTGACCATGTTTCTTATTGCAGGACAAGGCGCATCTCGTCCTGGGCGGAGAAGGATGTATGTGGGGCGAGACAGTAGCCCCTCAGCCCTTTAGGGGTCCTAGGGGGTGTGATGTAGAAGCCAAATTACTTGACATTGTTACGTTCCTAGGTTCCTTGCCTAAATATGGTGTAGGGTACTTCAAATAGACAACCTGATATTGGCCACCAATTCTGAGTGTGGGCCGTTAGGGGCCTAGCATTCTGAGCATCAGGGTTCAGGAAGCTGAATGTTCTAGCACTGCAGCTTTCATGTATGAATATAAAAGCCAAGGAGATTGGGTCTAGGACTCAGGGTTTAGGAATTTCGCCTGTTTCTGAGAATTTCCGGTGTTTGGATGGCTTTGCTGTCTATAGGGTCGTCTGCGCAGACTTGTGTATGTAATGTGGGCCGCGAGTGTGAGACCCACCACATTCCCCAACCGTATAACGGGTACCGCCCTTGCTAAGAGTTCGGGATGCCAGTACTCCAGTTCCCCAAATTGGGATTCCTATAATAAGGTTTTAGCGCATGTCGTGGTATATAACAGCTGCTCTCATGTTTAAGGTCAGACTGTTCTTGAGGGGCATCCTAGACATCTCCCATTTGGGCATTATGGAAACATCTAGCCCTTCCTGGTATCTTGAGAGCGTGCATCTTTCTATAAACCCAGATGTCCGAGTCCCAGCACCTTTTGCCCCGGAACCAGTCACGCTTTTCCTGCGGTCCCTAAAGCCCATGTTTGGCCAAAGCCTGTACCCAAAACTTTAAAGTGAAAAAGCAAACCTAAACCCTAGACCCCAAGCCGACGCCCCAGATCTTCCAACCTTACCCATGTGTGCTATTCAGATTGTCACGGTCTTGGTCGGGCGGAACCCAAATCATAACCAACTGATATAGAACCGATTGGTAAAGAAAACGGACTATGAAATGGAGACCGGCTATAGTGCCCAATAGGGTTAGGAGAGGTAGGAAAAAGCCCGAGCTATAACCATGTCATATCTTTCAACTAACATGTTAGAACAATTACCTTTATAGATACCCTTTCTACCTATGTCATGCCTATTGTCATTGTGAGGAGTACTGGTACTCTTGATGGCCATGTTTCCTCCGAGTCATCGAATGCCAGTCTTGACAAAGCTTGAACCATACAACTCGCCCACGACCTGCAGACACAAACGTTGCAAAGTCCTCAAACTTATGTTCTGCAATCATTCAGAATCTAGAACATCTCTGAGCCCTATCAGGTTTCTTCAAACCCTTCAAAGCCCTTAAATCCCAAGGATCCTCCAGGCACTACGCCCCATAGCCTCCGCAAGCCTCAAAATGACATCCCCTCCTTAAACTTGGAATCCCAAACCCAAAGCCCCAATGACATCCCCTCCCTAAACTCTGAGCCAAAGCCCCAAACCTTAAAAACTTCTTGCGTCCTTATGTGCCCCCCCATATTCCCCTATACATCCCCACATGTATTTATATGCTCCTATATAACCCCATCTAAGGCCTAAACCCTAATTTCGGAAATCCCAAGGATCCTTCGGACATGGAGCCGACTATCTGGCCCCGTGCAGCAGCGATCGCGGAGCGGCTCTGGAGTGCCAGAGGCCTGCAAAAGGGTTTAGGATTTAGGGTTTTGGATATAGGGTTTCGGATTTTATTAGGGTTTCGGATTTAATTAGGGTTTAGGATTTAGGGTTTAGGGCTTGAAGTTTAGGGACCCACACCACCCCGCTAGGGTTAAAACTGGGCCCCAAAGTATGTAGCATCATGTCCTTTTGGGCTGTTTTCTGGGGTTGGGCGGCCATCATGCTGCCTTCTCTAGGGGGTGAAAGTACGGCTTAGGGTTTGGGGTTTACGTTTTGTGGTTGAGGGCTTAGGGTTCGGGGTTCACAGCTTTTGGGTCAGCACGAACGATTAAGTTTCAGCGTTGCAAAGCGGATGCTAAAGGTTTAAAGATGTTTAAAGAGCTTTGCGAGGAAAAGTTCTAGAAGATTTCTATCTATGCAGGGTTAGCACTCCAACATAGCTTGCTGGGTACCCCAGTAGTACCCTTTTTCTCTTTCTATCTCGGGATCTTCTTATTAGAGCTGAACCTTAGGAAAAGGGGTACCCTTCTTGTGTAGGGGTTACTAGGGAACCTAGCCTAAACCCTTAACCCTAAACCCTTAACCTTAAACCCCTAAACCCTAAACCCTAAACCCTAAACCCCTAAACCCTTAACCCTAAACCCTTAACCCCTAAACCCTTAACCGTAAACCCCTAAACCCCTAAACCCTTAACCCTAAACCCTTAACCCCTAACCCTTAACCCTAAACCCCTTAACCCTAAACCCCTTAACCCTTAACCCTTGCACAACCCTAAACCCTTAACCCTAAACCCCTAAACCCTTAACCCTAAACCCCAAAACCCCTAAACCCTAAATCCCCAAAACCTAGCTTCAAAGCCGCCTTTGAAGCCGGAGAGGCGTCAACTCCACGGAGGAAGCTGAGCCACGACTCATCGCCTTCAGGTCAGCTTTCAAAGGGTTTGAGTTAGGTGGGGTTTAGGGTTTAAGTAGGTTTTAAGTAGGTTTTAATTAAGTAGGATTTAAGTAGGATTTAAGTAGGGTTTAGGGTTTAGGGCCCCCCACCCAGTAATAGTGACTATATTGGAGAATGGGAACTGTATCAGGGTCCTCTTATAGTCCTATTATACCACTATTGCAGGGTTGGGTGTCATCCTAGTGTATACACAATTGGAAGTGGGGCTTGGGGTAGGAAGTATTGCAGCGAGTATGATAGGGGGGCAACATTACGATTTTTCAGGCCTCTACATGACAGAGCTAGGATTGAAGGGTTTGGGACGTTTAGGCTGTTGTTAATGGGGCTTAGTGTTTAGGTGTAGAGCATTAGGGGTTTGAGTTCTGAATGGGGGCCTTATACGGTTTGAGCATGCGGTAGAAATGATGGTTTGAAAGCAGAGATGGAGGATGCAGGGTTTGGACGGTAGCTAGGGTGTCAGGACTTCGTATTTTGGGGTGAAATACTGCAGGTGGGGGTAGCAAGGTTACAGAGTCTTGTCTTCAGTATCTAAGTGCTGAATGGGTGCTCTAGGGAAAGGTTGGGGGCAAGGACGTCTTGCGGTTTCAGTTCTGCTTGAGCGTGAAAGAAGGCGACAAGGCTATCTGCATTGATGGCATTTCTTCTTGAAACCTGAGCCAAGGGGCCCTCCACAGTAGCATGGAACTCCCTATAGCCCGCTGTTGCAACGACTGTAGCGCGTTTGAGCACCCTTTGGGGTTCTATGTTAGTTTAGGGCAGTGCACGATCTTCAGTACTTCGGGTGGGGAGTAGCTGGGTAGGCTCCTGGGATATTTGATATTTTCCCT